ACGCCTGTAATCCTAGCTCTTGGGAGGCCGAGGCGGGCGGATTGCTCAAGGTCAGGAGTTCAAAACCAGCCTGAGCAAGAGCGAGACCCCGTCTCTACTATAAATAGAAAGAAATTAATTGGCCAACTGATATATATATATAAAAAATTAGCCGGGCATGGTGGCGCATGCCTGTAGTCCCAGCTACTTGGGAGGCTGAGGCAGGAGGATCGCTTGAGCCCAGGAGTTTGAGGTTGCTGTGAGCTAGGCTGACGCCACGGCACTCACTCTAGCCTGGACAACAAAGTGAGACTCTGTCTCAAAAAAAAAAAAAAAAAAAAAAGAAAAGGTATACGTGATAGGCTAAATAATGTCCCCCACCCAAAGATGTCCACATCCTAATCCATGGATCTTGTGAATATATTACCCTTACATTCAAAAATATCTTTATAGATATAATTAAGACAGGCTCTTGAGATGAGGAGATTATCCTGGTGGGCTCCATGTAATCCCAAGAGTCCTTGTAAGAGGACAGTGAAAATTCAGAGAGCAGATGATGTGTTCACGGAGGGAAGTGGGGAGAAAGGCAGTGTGCTGTGGACTCAGGAGCCCAGGGCTGACCACAGCCTCCAGAAGCCCGCAGCGGCAAGGAAACAGATTCTCCCCGACAGCCTTCCAACGGAACCAGCCCCACTGACACCTTCACTGCAGGGCAGTCAGACTGATACTGGATTTCTGCCCTCCAGAACTATAAGGTAATAAGTCTACATTGTTTTAAGCCACTGAAGTTTGTGGGAATTTGTTACAGCAGTGCCAAGAAACTAATATATACTTTGGTATCTGGAACTGACTGCTGCTTGTAACAAATACCTAACAATGTAGAAGAGGCCTTGGACTTGGTTAATGGGTAGAGAATTTTGAGCACCATGATATAAAAGGCTAGTTTCCCTTAAATAGACGGTTGCAGAGATATGGATGTTATAAACTGATGAGCAGGAAAGAGTGAGGAGTATGGAAGAGAAAACTTATACTGTCTGCAAATATCCAAATCATCATTAACATACAGATGGTAGAAACATGAACGTCAAAAGCCCTGCTGGTGAGGTCTTGCAAGGAAATGAGAAACATGTTAATGGAAACTGAAGGGAAGGGGATCCTTATTACATAGTGCCAGAAAGCGTAGTTGAATTGGATATGGAAAGCAGAACTTGTAAGCAATGAACTTGAATATTTATCTGAGGAGATTTCTAAGCAAAGAATTGAAAATGGAGTCTGGTTTATTCTTGTTGTTCATAGTAAAATGCAAGAGAAAACAGACAGATTGAGAGAAGAACTGTTAAGAAAAAAGGAACCAGGATTAAAATTTTGAAAATTCTTAGCCCATCCACATTGCAAAAGTGATAAAAATTAGGAGATTCACTGTGAATACAGTGTGTTCTGGAAAGAAAGCCAAGAGTGCAGCTGTATCACCCTTTGTTAGTACCTTGGAAGAATCAAAAGAGCAGTGTATTTAGTGACACAGAGAACTATTTGAAGAAATCAGTCACATGGATTCCCTCAGGCATCTCAACAGAAGCCAAAAATAGCAATGAATTATTCAAGAAAGATCTGCAGAGGACCCTCCCTGTGACATACATAGGAGACCTACGGGTTCTTGAGAATGGTATATCATCAGAAACACCAGACATTTGGGGTGAAAGGGATAAAAGAAAGAAAGAAAGAAAATGAAAGAAGGCCATCTGGTTCCCAAAATTCTACAGTCAAAAACCAGGCTGATAAAACGACTATCCAAATACCCTTAATGAAAAAGGAAGAATATCCCAGACAGCAGAACAGGTCTGGAAGGTGAAGCTGAAGGCCACTGAGGATTATTCCCATGCCTTGAAACCTAATGGTTGGATTTTGAAATTTCCTGGGACTAGTGATTCCTTTTGTCCCTTTCATTTTATTCCTTTTTGAATGGGAATGTTTGACTATTCTTCATGCCTACTTTACTCATTGTATTTTGGGAGCAGAGAACATGTTTCAGGTGCATAGGTGATAAGGAATCTCGCCTCAGGATGAATCATACCTACAGTCTCACCCATATGAGATTTAGATAATTAAATTATGAGATTGATACTTTGGGAATGATGATACTTAGATGACATTTTGGACTTTGAGTTGATCTTATAATGGGTTGAGACTTTTGGGGGCCTTGGCACAGGGTGAACATATTTTACACATGGGACAGAAGTCAATATTTGTGGTCAGAAGGCAGACTGTGATAGGCTGAAAATTGCCCCTCAATACTAACCAAAGATATCTGTGTCCTGATCCCTGTAACCGGTAAATATGTTACCTTTTATATTTCCTTTTGTGTAAGAGTACTAAATTTTACACCTGCAGGCACAGGGCAAGGACCAGAACCCAGATAGCTTAATCAAGTGTGTTTCCAACTGCTCCCAGGTCCTGATTCTTACCAGGGAAACCCAGACCAAATGATAAGGAAATGAAAATGAGCCAGGTGGGGTCATTACTATCACTCCTTAAATTTTCCTCACCCTTTCACCCACCCAGAGAGGGGACACGGACTCAGCCATAGGATTTGTCAACTTGGGGCATGCACCTCTGCCTTCACATGCAGTCTGCAGCGCCTCCCCTGTACTAAAGTATTAAAGAACACTTTTAAAAAAGTATTTTGAGATTAAGAAATTATCCTGGATTATCCAGTTAGGTTTGATACAATCATGAGAGTCCTTATAATAAGAGGAGGGCAAAAGGCCAGACAGAAGGCAAGCAAAAAGTAAAAGAGAAAGCAACGAGAGAGAGAGAGAGAGAGAGAGAGAGAGAGAGAGAGAGAATGAATGACTGAGACTTATGATGCCGGGATATGAGCCAAGGCCTGAGGGCAGCCGCTAGAAGCTAGCAAAGGCAAGGAAATGCTTCTTCCCTAGACCTTCAGAAGGACCAGCCTTGCTGATACTTTGACTTTAGTCCAGTCAGACTGATTTTGGATTTTTGACCTCTAGAACTGTAAAATAATAAATGGTGTTTTAAGGTATTAGGTTTGTGGTAATTTGCTACATAAGCAACAGGAAACTAACCCAGAATAGATACGTTGTAAGTTAATAATTAGGTAATAGTTTGCTAAGATTCATAATTTATTAAATATTTTATAAACATATACTAAATATGGATATACAAATCCTAACTGCCCCATCAGAAGTTCTTAAGTTTCTTACACAAAAACAATCATATAAATTATATTTTAATATACATTGCATAAATTGGCTTTCAAATTGGAAGGGAGAAAAGAGGAAGAAAATGACATTTCACTGAAAATTAATTTTGATCTCCAAAAATCTATTCCTGACTATGTCTGTGTCTCATAGGAAAAGACTGCTGTGAGCACACTTAAAACTGAATTTAAGCCACTTAACTGTGGTAGCAACTGTATTATTGTTCATCAGAGAATACTCTGAAAAGGAAGCAAATGGAAATTCTAGAATGGATAAATATGGTATCTAGTATGATTAATCCATTAGATAGGCTTAATGGTTAATGAGACACAACAAAAAAAAACTTAGTAAACCCAAAGAGAAGACAGTAAAAATTACTGAAAATAAAACACACAGAAAAAAAATCAATCAATAATAAAAAAACAAAACAAAACAAAACCTAAGCATCAGAGTTCTACAGCATAGGACCAAATAGTCTAACATGTATGCAATTGCAGTCTGAAAAATGAATGGAGTAGAATTGTTGGAAGAGATATTAGGTGAGAATTTTCCAAAATGCTTGAAAGACATTAATCCAACAGAAAACCAGCAGGACAAGACAGAATATCATATATAGGTCAACTGCTGAAAACCAGAGTAAAATAGATAAAGGTAATGAAATGACATGTTTAAACTGATGAAAGAAAAAAGAAAAAGCACCTGGCAACCTATACTCCTATATGCATGGAAAATATTTCTAAGAAAAATAAAGGTGAAACAAAGGCATTTCAGACAAACAAAAGCTAAGAAAATTCATCCTGCACCATAACAAAAGAAAGTTCTTCAGACTCAAGGGACATGATCACAGAGAAAAACCAAGATCTGCAAAAAGAAATGATGGTCAGTGAGGTAAATATCAAACGAAATATGAAATGATATAGTTTTAATTTCTTTAAAAGATAACTGATTAAGGCAAATATATCAATATATTTTGGGATTATAATATATGGGAAACTAAAATATGACAATAATACAAAAAAAATAGGAGGGATAACAGAATTACACTGTTACAAGGTTGCTAAATATTTCACAAAGTTGTATAATATTTATTCATGATAAAGTATAATGAATTATGTATATGTAATCTAGAGTAACCACTTAAAAATCATATAAAGTGGTAAAACTAAATAGCAATGCTGGAAATACAACACAAAACAAAAATAAAAACAACAAATCTCAATTTCTACACAAAGGAACAAAAAAATACAGAATAATTGAAGAAAATGGGAAACAAATAAAATGATAATAGAGTTAAGCCCAAGAATATAAGTAATTATATTAAACATAAGTATGCTCAATTGTCCAATTAGAAGACAGATACTTTTAAATCTGAGTTAAAAAAGACCCAACTGTATACGGCTTGTAAGAGACATGCTATTAATATGAAGACACAGAATGAAAGCAAAATGATACACATTGCAAATATTAATCATAAGAAAGCCAGTGTCTATATTGGTATCAAAAAAAGTAAACATTAAGAGACAAGTATCATCAATGACAAAGACAGATATTTCATAATGATATTAACAAAGCCCGAAGTTGGTTCTCTGCTTACACTAATAAGAATGACAAATCTCTTTTCTCTTGCAGACAATTTCTGAAGGTTTAGGGACCCCTGTGTGTTTATGGACTTCTATTTAAGAATTTCTTTTCAAATTCACATTATCTTAAAAATTCAACAGTTTTCTTTTCAAGTACACGATTCTCTCAATCCTTGATAACTTTTATTATTATTTACTTAAATCTTGCAAGTCATTTTACCTGAAACTTCACCTTCTGATTAATGTCAGACACATGGAACTGCTTCAAGAAGCGCTCGTCCTCACTCCAGAAGAGGCGGATGTCAGGAATGTCGTAGAGGATCATGGCCAGCCTTTCTAATCCTAAACCGAAAGCCCAACCAATTCGGTCTTGAGCACCAGCTATAATTAGGAGATAAAACAAAACAAAACAATTGTGTAAAAAAGTATGAAGATGAGACCAGCACATGCCACGCCCTGACAGTTATCAGTGACGTTGATTAGATGCCCACCAGGCGCAAAGCAGTGGGGAGCTGCTACAAACCCTTGCAAGAGGCTGCCCAATCTTACATGTTCCTTCCTCCCGACACTCCTGACTTCCCTCAGGGAAGCACTCTGAAGTCATACTGTCTTTCATTTCTGATTAAATTCCAGGCTTTCTTAAGCCCTGGTTCCCATCTCTATGAGTTATGATTTTTCTGTAATCTTTGCTTGTCCTGATTGAAACACTTAGCCTACTATGTGCAGATTACAGAGGGGAAAGAAAAGATAGTCTCTGTCCCTAATTGGCTTACTACATCAGGAGATATGTTCAAAACATGCCATAGTGGACTGTTAACATTTTGGAAGTGTGTGGCAAGCCTTTAAGAACCTCAGCTTTATTGAAACACCATAATGCTGCTTCTTAATAAGAGCTACCTCAACAATGTGTGGAGAGCACGCAAGCCAGGGTGAAATGCCTATTGTGTACCACTTATTCCAAAGGGATGGTGTCCTGTTCATATTATGTCAACACCATGAATTCTAAGGGTTTATTTTATATATACATGAGGTGTAAGCGAGGAGATACAAACTTCAGAACAGACAAAGGCAAGCGAACAAGTCATACTGCTGGAAAACTTATGAAATGAGCTTGTGAAAGAAACATAATTCCAACTGGACACCAAAGCATGAGCAGGATACCATGGCAGGCTGGGACGGCCCCCAAGATACTCACCCCTGGCACCACCCGCCCCCATTAAGTGTGGGTGGGACCTGTGAGTAGGATGAGACTTCACGCCTGTGATAGCTTTACTTTATATACGACTCCACTCTGGCAGACTGAAGAGAGGTTCCCTTGGCGGGCTGTGAGGAATGGGCCGCCAAGTCGGAAGGGCCCCGTGGCTCGGCCCTCAGGAAGGCATAAAGGAGCTGAAAGAGGCCCCAGCAGCCAGCGAGAAAACGGGAACCTCCCTTCTACAACCGGAGGAGTCCTTCAAACAACCTGAATGAGCCGAGAAGCAGACCCGGCTCCAGCCTTGCCAACAACTTGATGTCACCCTGGTAAGATCTTGAGCAGAGGACCCTGTCAATACTTTCCTGGACTCCTGGATTCCTGATGTAAGGACATAATTGTGACATAAAAGGTTTGTGTTGTTTTAGGAGACTGAATGTGAGGTGATTCGTTACCCAGGTTGGGAAGAGGGGGAAAGGACACCAATCCAAATCCACAATGTGGAGAAAGATGATAGGGAATTCCAGAATGAGGGAATCTCTTCGATAGCAAAGGGACAGGGTATAGCACAGGCATCTGGAGACACAGATGGGGTTCCTCTCAAGCCATGTCTAACATCTTGTCCTTGTTTTTATTTTGCACATAATGTCTTTCTAAAGAACTTATAATTGTTTCACAGATCTCATTCACTCTGTTGAACCCTCATGGAGCCACAAGATTAGATGCTCAAGATCCAGGAGGAAAAAGACTTCATTGTAAGTTAAATACTAGCACCTTTAGTCATCACTTGTCATCAAGGCAATCATAAAGATGATTGGAGACACAGGCATTCGGCAATAAGCTACAGAAAGATTGAGAGGCACTGGTATTTGATGAAGTACACTTTAAAAAAATTTCCACTACATCACAGGCTGACAATTTGTCACATATAAAATTATACAGATGACAATCTGCTCAATAACAGAATGCACATTCCTTTCAAGTGTACATGGGCCATTCATCACCATATTCTGGAATACAAAACAAATTTCAAATATTTAAAATGACTGAAAATGTAAAAAGAATATCCTATGCCAAAAATGCAAATAAATCAGAAATTAACCATAGAAAAATATCTGAAAAATCTCTCAAATATTGGCAAGTTTAGTAATGTACTTCTAAATAATCCATAAGTCAAAGAAGTGATGACAAAGGAAATTAGAAAATACATGGAAATGAATAACAATTAAGATATGACCCATGAAAACTGAAACTCATAAGTTACTGGGTGGGAATGCAAAATGATCAAGCCACTTTGAAAGACAGTTTGGTAGTTTCTTACAATAAACCAATGGTTCTCAAGTAGTGGAAATTTTAGTCAACAAGGTAGACACTTACCAAGGCCTGGAGACATTTTTGGTTGTCAAAATGGGGAGTAGGAATATCCTGACATTCAGTGGGCAGAAGCCAAGGATGTTGCTAAACATCCCATAATCGACAGGACGGTCCCCCACAGCAAAGAATTATCCAAACCAAAACATCAGCAGAGAAACTCTGAGTTAAACATACACTTAGCATATGACATAGGAATTCATTCCCAAGTATTCACCTAAGATATGGAAACATATGTACATTGAAAGTCCAATGCACAATGTTCATAACAGCTTTATTCAGAACAGGCCCAGACCAGAGACAACCCAAATGTCCATCAACTAGTTAATGGAAAAATTGTGGTACATCCATACAGTAATAAAAACTTATTTCCAGTAAGAATGGCCTTTATCAAAATGTCCCAAAACAATGTTGGCGAGGATGTGGAGCGATAGGAACACTCCTACACTGCTGGTGGGACTGCAAACTAGTTCAACCTCTATGGAAAGCAATATGGAGATACCTTAAAGCGATACAAGTAGATCCACCATTTTATCCAGCAACCCCACTACTGGGCATCTACCCAAAAGATCAAATGACACTCTATGAAAAAGACACCTGCACTTGAATGTTTAGAGCAGCACAATTCATAATTGCAAAGCTGTGGAAAACAACCCAAGTGCCCATCAATACATGAGTGGATTAATAAAATGTGGTATATGTATACCATGGAATACTATTCAGCTCTAAGAAACAACAGCGATATAGCACATCTTGTATTTTCCTGGATAGAGCTGGAACCCATACTACTAAATGAAGTATCCCAAGAATGGAAAAACAAGCACCACATATACTCACCAGCAAACTGATATTGACTGAGCAGCACCTAAGTGGACACATAGGAACTACATTAATTGGGTACTGGGGCGGGTACATACATACACTCACACAATGAGTGAGATGTGTACCGTCTGGGGGATGGTCACGCTTGAAGCTCAGACTTGTGGGGGGGGGGCAAAGGCATTATTTGAAACCTTAAAATTTGTACCCCCATAATATGCTAAAATAAAAAAATGAAAAATAAATAAATTATATATACAACAAAATAAATGAATCTCAAAAGCATTAGGCTTAGCAAAAGGAAACAGTCACCAAAGACTATCTACAACAAAATTCCATTTATATGACATTCTAGAAAAAGTGACATTACAGATAACAGATCAGTGGCTGGCTATGGTAGGATATGAGGGAACTTTCTGGGTCAATGGAAAGTTTCTATATCTTGATTATGTGGTGGTTATATGACTTTAAAACTCATTTAACTATGTTTTAAAAATATGAATTTTCTGTGTATAAATACTACCTCAATAACCTGACTTTTAAAAAAATCCTACACTTGGATGACTTGCAATCAAGTCAAATTGCTGTATGTTTCTAGACACTTACTCCCAAGCTTCCATGATTATCTCATTATGAACTGGAAACAAATAGTTTGTGGACCAGCACCACTCCAAGGCATCAATGATCTGAATGATGTAGAATATGCTTATAATTTTTTTAAGCCCCCCAAATTAAGAAGTTCAATAGCAAACTCTTACGCACTGTAAGAATCTATCTGTGGAACCTAACAATCCGCAGGCCGCAGCCTGAGCATCATGATGCTGGGAACGAAATATAACCCCCTACCAACAGCACTGGCGCCTGGCCCACCACGCCAGATTATTGACAGGCCTCTAAACATCCTACGTCCTTGTCATGATACAGCATGTTTTTCTTAAACTTGTCCCTCTTCTTAACATGAACACTCGCCATCTGCTAAAGATTGGCTGAAATATTCTGACTGAGGGATTCTCCCTGACTCTCAAGGATGATTCAGTTTGCCGCCTTCTCTCCCCTCACCAACATCCTGAACATAACTTTCATTAGCAACTACCACATTTATAAGTCTCTCTCCACATCCAAACCTGAGAGTTCTGAGACAACAATCCCAACACAATGTTCTATACGTTACTAATTACTAATAAATGGTTTTTAGACATACACCTGTACTAATGAAACAAATGAGCACTTTCCATGTGGTAGATTATTTGAGTCATTGTCACAGTACAAAGCTGAGGATCACAAGGAGAATGAGTGAAATTCTCTGAAGAAAACATAAAAAAGAGCCAGAGTTCTTAAATGCAAAATTTGCACAGTGTTTACAATTAGGGTTGGGAAGATAAAGAAGTAGGGAAGGAGAGAAAAAAGGATATAGATAAATGCTTAATTCATTGCTTGCTGGACATCCCAACAATTTCACAGACAGGAAATGTAAATAATCACAAAATGCTTACAAGTAACAAAATTAAAAGAAATAAATACCATTTAAAAAGTGAATCTACACACTATGAAATTTGTCGGAATAGAAATATCACAAACAATAAGAAATAAAGGTATGAGTCCAAAATAAAATCATTGTAAAGTTATGGCAAAATAGTGAAATTCCCCATTTACTGCCTTCTTCAAAGCTGAGCCAGGTTGCTGCAGAGCACGGCAGGCTTCTAGGAGCCAGACCCAAGCACGGTCATGGGGTACAGTCCAGAAACGTGGCTCGGGAAAAGGCTAAGGGACGTCCCAGAAAAGGGAGCCACAGGTTGCCACTGCGATGGCAGTCTAGGCTCAGCTGTGATATGTCCCCAAATCAAGGAAGACCTGCTTAGCAACCTGATGTGACCCGACTGCTGAATGGAACAGATTAAGAACAAGCAGATAGAGCCTTGCCAGCCAGAAACCACGTTCTCAAGAGACAGCAGGGGGCGTCTGGCCCCCTGTGCGAGGAGATGAAGCCCACACTAGGAGT